CAATAACATGGGAACATGTGGCCCTTAAAACAATAACATGGGAACATGTGGCCCTTAAAACAATAACATAGCAACATTCGGTATTTAAAACAATAGGATCCGCATTCAGTTTTAAGTAATAGATTTAGTCATATTCACATTTTCCGCAAGACAATCATGCAGCAAAAAATTCGGGATGTGGAATTAATTAATGCGGACTAAGTACTTCAAATACCCCCGTGTATAAAAGAATTATAACAAATTTAGTCTGTACTATATTATATAGTCTATATTATATCGTCTATATTTTATGGTCTTTACTATACTATGTATAAGGAAGCTAAACATAGAATATGATGCATTAGGGATACTTTCGCCAAACACCGCAAATTGCCACATAATCCAAACATCAACCTAAAAACTAAAATTATGTTCTTCAATCGCCTCGTCAGATCGAGACATTCACACGGATGTCATGCATAGCACCCAACTCATTCAGAAGTATTTAAACTTTCAATGTATACAGCCGCAAAATCACAAAAGCTATACAAAAAACAGAAACCACGTCATTTGAGGACTTTTAACAGCAGCCACAACTAAAATGTATATCACGTGTAATGCGAAGAGAATATCATGTCATGATCGAACTGTTGACATTCAAACTAAATGGTTCTTTACTGGAAAAAGCGATAGCAGTTAACGAATCCTATTTTCATAAAAAATTGATTTTTATATAAAAATTTTATAAATTTCACCGGAAGTAACACTGGCTGCTCAGTCAGTGAATTCCGGATGTTTCCTTATAAGGAAACGCCTTATATTACCATTACTGTTCTTTAAGCCATATTTAAGGACAAATGTAAGATAAATTTGAATTTCTTCTAAAATCGAATTTCTTTTGATAATAGGTCACCGTGGCCAAATCGGACAAGCGGAGCGAGTTCAGGAATTCTTTTTGCAAAATACTGCGTAATATTTTCCCTGTAGCCTAGAAGATATGGGAGAAGCCCTAAGCTTGCAAGAACTTGCTATTTAAAATTGTTTTGCCAGTGGATGAAATGGTTGCGTGTTTTTCTCAGGTTCCAGAAGCCGGTGTTTGATTCTAGGTATAAAGCCGAGGTGTCGAATGCTGGTTTTTCAAGTGACTGGTTGATCTTAACATTCACAAGTTTGCCGGAACACGATCTTCCTACGCCCTATCCTCATGCCCTAATTTTCGGAATATTAGATGTACCGGTGTATAAAACGCACCCATAGTTTGAAGGGACATTTTTGGTAAAAAGTCAGTTATAATTGAAAGATTTTTATTAAAGAAAATCGAATTTGATCCGTTAAAAATTAATTTTATTCGAAACACAAGCGGACAAAACATCAAAAGAAGAAAATACTGTAAAAAAATCGGAAGAAGATTTACCGTTATTTAGTTTGGTTCGAAACCTTCTTAAAAACGAGTCATTTTATGATTTAATCGAATATTATGATCAAGGACAATAACATCTTCGCTTCCATTCTAGACAAAATCCAGAGACGGATATGCAACGTGATTGGTCCTGATCTGGCATCCCGTCTGCAGTCGCTATCTCACAGACGTGCTGTGGCTTCCCTCTGCCTTTTCTACAAATATTTTCATGGCAACTGCTGTGAAGAGCTACTTTCACTGCTTCCCAAATTGCATGAATTTAAGCGTGCTACTAGGCTGACATCTCGGTCATACCCTTTCACTGTCGAAATGACTAAATGTAACCTCCTCTTCTACTCCACCAGCTTCTTCTCTCGCCCTTCCCGACAGTGGAACTCCCTTCCTCTTACTTGCCTCCCTGAAAGCTATAATCTTCAAATATTCAGAGGTAATGTCAATCGACATCTTCTGATGCATTGACCTTGATCACTGTCCTTCTCTTTATCCTTTTCCGAAACACTCCTCTTTAGTCTTACTTTCACTCTCTGTAATCCTTTGTGTGTTAGTTGCACTCCTGCCTTGTTTGGGTGGAATTGCTTAAAAAAATCAGTGTGTAACTGATGTTTAAAAGACTAAATCAGAGATTCAAAGAAGGTTTCTGTAATGTTATAGGTCCTAACCTGACATTTCAACTTGTCACTTTCCCACTGCTCTGTCGTGGCACCCCGCTGTCTTTTCTACAAATATTTTAATTTAATAAGCTTTCTTCTTTGGCACCTTGACGACATGAATTTAAGCGCACGGCTAGATTGGTAACTAGGACTCATCATCCTACTGTTGAAATAGTTCCTGCCACATAGAATTTACAAAAATGTTAATGCAATGTCAATCGTCATCTGTCTTTTTGAAACAGGTTCTTTATTGTTCTTTTTACTTACTAAAAACTACTCATTCCCTTTCACTCCTAGTAACCCCTTGCGTCTTAGTGAAAGTTATCGTCTTGCTTGAGGTGAAATTAAAAAAATTATCACTTATTTTTCCCACGAATTCTTCATCCACATGCACACCAGAGAAAATGTTAGTCTTTTACTTCATCCAGTTTTAATTCTAATAACTCGGCCCTCATTGTGTTTCATGAACAGATAATATCACGACGTATGGCCTTTAAAACAATAAAATAGTAACATTCGGTCTTTAAAACAATGACATAATAACATTCAGTCTTTAAAACAATAACATAGCAATATTCGGTCCTTAAAACAATAACATAATAACTTTCGACCTTTAAAACATCTTCATCCAGTTTTAATTCTAATAACTCAGCTCTCATTGTGTTTCATGAACAGATAATATCACGATATATGGCCTTTGAAAGCTTCTAAATTATTATCAAGTGGAATGCTCGTTGTTTTAAAACAAATATTTGTAGAAATCGATATTTCCTGACTTCTCTGAACCACAATTAGTATATACTACGCAAACGAGATTTTGGCATCATTGCGTCTTCTTGGTTTCACGTTTTCCACTGACATGAATTGGGCCGATTATATTGAATCAACCGCCAAGTCGGCTGTTAGGAAATTTGGTTCCCTTTGTCGTGCTAGACAATACTTTTTTTTTGTCCGAATTGATTTTGCCCCTTTATAAATGTACCATTCGTCTATGCATCGAATATTGCTGCCACATCTAGTTTGGCTATATGCCGAGAAATGCTTGACAAAATCCAAAGAAGAATCGGCAACGTTATCCGTCCTGACTCGGCTTCAGTCATTCCCCCTGTGCCTTTTCTATAAATATTTTATGTTAATTGTTCTGATGAAATTTCCTCCTTGAAATCAGCTACGTCTAATAATGTCAATGTTGAAAATGTTAGATGCAACTGTAAGTTCTATGCTAATAGTTTCCTCTCGCTTGTAGGGCTCTTTTCCGGGTTCTTGCTTTTCTGTCAACTATCATCTTCATCAATTTAAATGCAACGTTAATCGTCATCATATGTCTTCTGGAATCCAATCTTTTTATTACCCTTTCTCCTCAAATTCGTTTTCTCAGTTTAACCCCATGCGTCTTAGTGGCTTTTATCGTCTGGCTTTGGGTAAAATGGTTAAAAATAATCAAATTTAGGTGTAAAGAAGTGCGTCTTATGCACCGAAAATTTGCATTAGTCTTGAAAGTATTCTTGTGTTCAGGTTTTTTGACACGTATTTCTTCCATTGTAATTTCAAAGATGAAATAAATACGACCCAAAATGAATAACCGTTTAGAATTCTAACAATTCAAGATAAAGAAACAGTTTTGTTCCGATATAAACATGTCTCTTATGCAATTTGAACATTTAGGAAAATATTCCATACATTTATCAAATGAGCCACTGTCTGGACCCCAGATTATGGAATCGAGTTAGTGCAGAACGACAAACGAAGATTTCTTAGTGTTTTTGTGTTAAAGAATTCAACCAAACCGAGCCTCGTTCTGATTTTCGTTGTCATTAATCGATAACGAATCGTCAAGCAGTCGGTAGCGTCTCCAGTCCACGCAACATAGCAATCGGGTCACTTCGACCTCGACGATGCTATACCAATAGCTGTAGCAATGCTGCGCCTTTTTTTTTCCCGCGTAGAGAATAAATTTGTTTTCCTGAGTCAGAAGAGCGTTACTGCTGACGTCATCGTAAAGAAAAAGTTTTTTTTTCTTTTTACATCGTTTTTGTTTTTATTCTTTAGTTTTCTTATATCGTTCAAGACTTTCTTTCTGTCTTTTTTTTTCTTTCTTGAATCTTCCTTCCTTTCTTTCAATTCTTTTTCTAAAGCGTTACTTTTATTTATTTATTGAATTTGATGCTTTTGACTGCACATAGAATAAATCTGTTTTCCAGATTTAGGAGACAACACTGCTTACGTCATTATTGCAAAATAATGTTCTTTCTTCTTTACTTTCTTTCTTTCTTTCTACTTTCTTTCTTTCTTTCTTTCTTTCTTTCTTTCTTTCTTTCTACTTTCTTTCTTATATTGTCGTTTTTTTGTTTTTCTTTTCTCTTTCGTTTCTTTCTTTTCTCTTGCTTTTCTTTCTTTTTTTCACTTTTCTTTTTGTTATCTTCGACTTTTTTTCTATCTGCTTTTTTTCTTCTTTTGATATCAAAATTTTGTTTCCACTTTGGTAACACTTCATGACTCAAACCTCGCCGATCGAATTTATGACTTGAAACTCACAACCCAAAGTAAAGCTGATCCCTGCCGCAACACCCCGGGCTGACGAAATAAGACATAACATAAAATTATGACTTTGAATCTGATATTAAGTCTGGGTCAAACCCAAATCTGGAATCTATTGGTTGTTATGGTTGCTTTTGTTTAGCGGCACATCAACTTCTACCGGTTATTTAATGCTGAAATGTAAAAATTTTGAACGCAATTTTATTTTACTTATTTTTTTTAAAGATAATAATATTTTTAGCTATACATATCTTACTAATTAACCCATAGCTGTGGGGAGAAGAGTTGGATTCATACCTTTCCCAAGAGTGTTTGCGTGTAAGTGAATATAACGAACCCAACGGGAAGTGGAACTCGGCTCTACGATTTACAATTTCGAGCTAGTATTCATTTCACCACCCGCACATCCAATCTTACAGCATCTAGTATTCCCAAGCGATCACCCTTCTAGGTACCGACCAGGCTCGACATTGCTTAACTTTGCTGATCGTACGGGAATTGGTGTTTCAACTTCTCTGAAATCGAATTCAATATTTAGTACTTAAGAAACATTGAGGTGGATAGTGATTTTCCGAATTAGATGTGGCACAAGGGCGAAAGTATGGGGCACCCAGTGAGGAACGAACTCATTATTCAGTCACAACTGTTCTAGCGAGACAAGCTTGTTAACCATTACACCGCCTCGAAGTGTCCAACCGATTTTCTAATCGTGGTTTATATGTGGCACAAGGGCGAAAGTATGGGGGCACCCAGTGATGATCGAACTCATTATTCAGTCATAACTTTAAACGCGGACTTCATTTAACAATGATTATATAAACGACTAGGCTGAGACAATCGAATGTTCCGGAGCTGAGGTTCATGTAAATTGAATTACAATCTAAGCACAAAAATCCTCGCAATTGATATCACGGTTTGGAACTAAATATTTTATTAATTAAAACAAATATTGTTCGCCAAGCAAAGAAGACAGAATTCATTGTTGTTAGCAAAAAGCAACAGCCCAGCATGCAAATTGGAGATACCAAAATCAAACAAGTCCAACAATTTAAATATCTGGGAAGTGTTTTAACAGAGAACGGAAAGAGCAATACTGAAATCCGAAGGTACATTGGGCAAACGAAAGATGCCTTTCAAAAGCTGAGCAAAGTATTAAGAAATAGAAAAATATCGTTAGAAACGAAGAAAACAGTACTGAATTGTTATGTATGATCTAGTCACTGATGAAAATAGGCTTGAAGTAACAGCGATGTGAATGCTGGGGGCGATCGTGGCTCTCCACAACTTTCTCTCCTTTACTGCTGTTGTTTGCTTTTTATTGTCCACCCAACACCCTCATCTGAAACCCATTTATACAAGCTCATTATGTAAATTCCTCGCTTATAATATCTATCACTTTTGCCTTCGGTATTTGTTAAATTTTCAGAACCTACTTTCCTCACTATAAATCCTGGAAATTTCCCCTGTCTCTTTTTGAATCTGAATATATGTCCTTTCGGCTTCTAGTTTCCTTAAAATTTTATCGTTGCTCACTTGCGCTATTTATAGTATTCTCAGTATCCTTCTGTAGAGCCACATCTCTGTTGTTGCACGTCTCCTCTTCATCTGTGAGGAAATTGTCCAGCATTCTCTATCATACAGGACAATTGGTATTGCATAGCAATTTGTTTGTTTGTTTCTAATGAAATGTCCAGGGCCGTTTAATACTTTATTTAGCTTTTGGAAGACATTTCTCACTCTTACGCAAATTTTGGTGCTACGTTTTTCGTCGTCTGTTAAAACACTTCCCAGATTTTTCAACTTCTGTAGTTGTTTGATTTTGGCATCCCCAATTGTCGTTCACATCTCGAGCTTTTTCTCTTACGGACAAGAGTATATTCCGCTAAAATCTTTTATATATATATATATATATATATATATATATATATATATATATATATATATATATGAGATAAGGATATATATTTTTATATATCAAGAACAATATTGAGGAAATTGTAAGACAAAATGGAAAAAGTTTATTTGTGACGCGTTTCATCAGTTAGGAGTTCATCGGACTGGGATTGTTGATTGCACATGTGCTTAAACGAGAGACGCTGGTAGTTTTAAAAAAAAATTTTAAATAATTTTAACAATCTTACCATATCTTCATTTTCATTCCATTATCTTTCTTTTTAAATATCCTTCATCCGTCAAGAATGGACGTAAATTTACTGTGGCTGAAGTAGCGTTTAAAGCACTTTCTAAATATTTTCAACTTATTGAATTATCTTCTCTTTTAATTGTCGTCAGTTTCGTACCGTGAATAACCAATGCGTGCTGTATGTTATTTTTAAAAAATATCTCTGTTGAGTTCATATAATCTTTTGTTTAAACTTGAGGTTTCTCCAATATATTCTTTCTGGCAATCCTTGCAGTTGATACAATAAATTCCTACTTCAGTTCATTAAAACGAAAATGCCCAGAAAGTGTTTTAATCTCTAGTTCATCCAAAGTAAATTTACGTCCAGGTTCTTACAAGGCATCACCATTCTTGGCAGATTCTCTGTTATCCCAAATCTGGGATATTTAAAAACAAACACGACGAAAAGAAAAAGAAAAAGAATATAGATGAATTTGGCCAGATTACCAAAAAATGTTAAAACTACCAGCATATCTCGTTCATGCGCATATGCAGTTATGAAAACGTCATCAAACCCAGTCCGATGAAGTCCTAACGGATGAATCGCATCACAAATAACCTTTTTCCATTTTGTCCTACAATTTACACAATATATATATATATATATATATATATATATATATATATATGCGCGCGTTGGGATATTTGGATGAAGCATGGGCTGGGCATTTTCTTTCTTTTCAGATCGACTAAACGGAAAAATCCTTAATTCTGAACTCATCAGGTCTTTTATTAAATCTGAAAATACAAATGTTTAAAATGTATATAAGTTACTTAAAACGGAACAGCCGTTTTATTGCTCCAAATTGTTCTTTTTCTGCTGTGTTCGTGATTGGCTGGAATCTACCACTACTATGACAACGGCACATATACCCACACATATAGAGAGTGAAACAAGAAAACAGAGAGAGAAAGGGAAAGTGAGAGAGAGAGAGAGAGAGAGAGAGAGAGAGAGTGATAGAATGTTCTATCCCAGATATTGATCACTTTTCTCACCATCAATTTCTAGAGTCACGAAGTAACCCCAAAAAGAAAGCTTTTCTGTCTATATCTCTGAGATGAGGTATTATGATTAGTTACATTATTCGAATTGTTAGCTTCATTACGATGTTCACAACGTTTCGGCCGTTGTACGCTCCGGCCTTCTCCAGGTGATTGGAATTTCGATTTCGGTTCTAATCACTTGAAGAAGGCCGGAGAATAATGTAAATAAAGAAAGCTTTTGTTTGCATACAAGAAAAACACAAATAAATAAACTTAACAGAAGTAACGTTGTCGATCATTTTTTAATATATATATATATATATATATATATATATATATATATAAGTGAACATAGAAGTCAACACTTAGAGGCGACAGTCTGTTTCATGCTATATGCAATCGTCAGGCCTTTTATATTTACACACGCTCTATCTGTGATATTGAACACTTTATCCCATAAATATAGCACACCTTAAGACTATATTTCTTCAGATATATATATATATATATATATATATATATATATATATATATATATATATATATAATAAAGTCGAATGAGGAAACGCGTCGGTAAGGACTAAGTACTTTTTTTTCGATTGATCTATAAGGGTTAATTAATAGGACTTGTATGACTAAGTCATTATTATCTCCAAAAATTCTTACAATTTAATATCTTCTGGCTTTAAATAACCTGCGAATGGTTGATAAGCCGTAAAAACAGATCAATCAAAATCCTACCATTGCCTGTTTTGCTATTCATATATAAAGGTCGTTGATGTTTTTCTTTGCCTCTCTTGCCTTCAAGATGTCTTGTGAGTGTCAAATTCACCAAACCCTTTCTTCAGCGTCTGAAATTAATTTGAAAATACTATTTGTTTTTTCACTTTTTAAACATATTTATTACAGTTCCCTTTCTAGCTTCCATCAGCAGAGTTGATGCTAATCTCCAGGAGAGTGACTCTTTGCGTCTTCTCGGTTTTACGTTTTCCACTGACATGAATTGGAACGATTATATCAAGTCAATCGCTAAATCTCCTGCGAGGAAAGGTGTTTCATTGCGTCGTTCTGGACAATTTTTCTCGCTCAAATCTACCTTACATATTTATAAGTCTACCATTCGACCTTGCTTTGAATATTGCTGCCACATCTGGTTTGGCACTCCTCCTATATATATCGAAATTTTTATAAAATCCCAAAACAATCTGCAATGTTATTGGTTCTGACCATATATATATACGAAGAAACACAACTATGAACACAAAGAAGGTATAAATATCGAGTTTCACACTTCTATATTTATTATGTACTGTACTTAGACCGGCTTTACACACTGCTTTACTTATACCGTCTTTACACATAGCTTTATTTATAACGTTTTTACACACATCTTTACTTGTACCCTATTTTCACATAGCTTTACTTATACCGTCTTTACACACAACATTACTTATACCGATTTTATACATATTTTTACTTGTTTTTACACACAGCTTTACTTATACCGTCTTTATACATATCTTTACTTATACCCTCTTTACACGCAGCTTTACTTATACCGTCTTTATACATATCTGTGCTTATAACCTCGTTACATATACCGTCTTTATACATATCTTTACTATACCAAAGGTGGCTAAACTTGCTTAAGAGTCCCATACGATAAGCTTCATATATTTTAGAGTTATCTGTCAAAAATATTTTATTGTAACATTTGTTGACTTGAATTCATCTGCTTCTTAACTTTTTCACATCGGTTGATTGATTTAACGACACGCCAACCCGTGTTGCGTGACTTAATGTCAATTTTAAAATAAAGAACACTGTCAGGATCGAAATTACAGCTCAGTAAAACTAGTCAGCCAGCCTCATTAACCATTACCCCATGCCGAGGCACCGCATTTTTTCTTTAGCATTGAAGAACAATGAATCACTTCTATCTGGTATTAAAATTAGATTTTGATTATTGAAATATTTTTACAAGTAGTAAACATTAAAATTACGTTTTAATTCTTGGGCTTCGCAGTTCAGGATTTTTCATATTTGACATTTTATACAAACTGTGAATAAAAAAAATTCAATTTAGCCAACATATTTCTTTGAGCCGCTCATTAAATGCTAAAGAGACACGTATGGCTCGCGAACCGCGATTTGGCCGCCCCCAACTCTTTCTGTATCCTCACTGGATTTATTCAACCGTTACAGCGAGGCCATCCTAAAACAACTAGAAATACTACCAGGATTTATTATCGCAGGGCACAACCTTAACAACATAAGATAAGCAGATGACGCCGTGTTGATGACAGACAAAGAAAGAAAACTACAGACACTCTTACGTAGTAAAGG